AGGGAGGCAGTGAAAGACAGGAAGGCCTGGTGCGATATAGTTCATGGGGTCACGAAGAGTCGGACACGACTTAACGACTGAACAACAAAATAGTGTAGAAATGCCATATCTAGACTGCAAAGACATGGGTGACTACTAGGTGGCACCAGTTCACTTGCTGCATCTCTTTACCGTCATCTTGTGATTCTCCTGACTTTTACTGCTGAAATATGTATGCCTAATATAAAGGGTGGTTTTTGGGGGGGGTTTGCTCCAGCATCCTGTCTCTTTTAGAGAGCAACAATAAATCTTAAAGGGTAGAGCCCTTGTCTGTGATTTCATCATTCTTATAGTTAGGATTTAGAGACACATTACTTCTGCAAATGGAAAAGCCACATCTCTGTCATGGCTGTAGCCTATGCAAGTTTGCATGCATTTGTTGTTATACCTTGCTTTTCCTCCAGGAACTCAAGGTGACATACGCTGCACTTTCTCCTGTAATTTTGTTCCCAGAACAATAAACCTGTGGAATAGTCAGAGTTACAGTGATTGATCCCAATGGTATTCCCTGAACTTTCATGGCTGAGATTGTACTTGAACTTGGGCTTCTGTTGCCTTAGTCCAGCCTACACTTTTTAAAATATAAATTGATCTGAACAGGGTTTTTATTTGGGTATAATGCTAAAATGATTTTTTAAATAAAATGCAAATACAGGTAGTCCCTGGGTTAAGGATGCCTGGGTTACAGACGACCCATAGTTAAGAACGGAGCCTGTTGTAGCAAAATTCAAGTTAAACACACAATGGTTCGAGTTTGTTACACAATACTACTTATACAGTATTATACAATAATACTGTTCCGGCTTACATACAAATTCAACTTAAGGACAGACCTTGGCAACGGAACTCATTCTTAAACTGGGGACTACCTGTAGTTATGAAGATGAAGTATCTATCTGATACAGAAGATATCAAATGAAAATAGGTATGGAGAAGCAAGACTTATTTCTTAGATGCTTTCACTCCTTTCCATTATTTTTATTAGAGAGGAGATACTGGATTATCCCCAACTTTTTCAAAAGGAACTATGATGGATATCTGTCCCCAGAGGTCTACCAGGCTGTTATCTGCAGTTCTGCCTAGGTGTCAAACTGCTGTTCAGGAAGATCCTCATGACTTAATTAGCTTAACAAATATTAAAAAAAGGTAAGCACTGAAATGCTCGTGTATAATGTATTATGCAACTTGCTAAGAGAAAGAGGACACTCTTGTAGGAGGAGGCATACTTCATCTTTAGCCCAGACCAAACAATGGCTTTGTTGGGGCAGCATGTTTAACAAGGTTGTGGGGTGTGGGAGAGGTTGTCATGTGAACTTTCTAGCATGCCAAATGACTTGCTAAACTAGCCCAGAGAAATTTAGATTTAGCCCCAAACAGACCTGCTGTTATGCAAACAACTAATCAGCAAGTTAGTTGACTCTCTGCCTGAAATTCAGAAGAGGTCCTAGAAATCCTCTTTAGGAACTCCCATCTCTTTATCCCAATAGTTTTCATCCTCTATGGCCACATGGGATGCAGAAAAAAGGGATGGGGTGGGTAGACTCTCTCCACACCTGCCTGTGGTGATGCAAGCCTGGCTGAGCATATTGCTCTTGGGCATGATGGAAAACGGCAGGCCATTTTCCACAATGCATGATGATGATGATTCCTTGCTGCAATCTAGCAACTCTCCGCAGCTTACATAATGTATAATAATAGCAAAAGAATTAAAACATCTATGGTTAGAATGAAATGAATAATAACCATAAAACCACTCCAACTAAAAGAACAGCAGTAAAAGAACTTAGGAGAATGCTTTTTAAAGAAATTTTGTTTTTAGATTTTTCATGTAGACCAACAAGGAGGAGGAGACTATTTCAAAGCACCAATGCTACATACATACATACATACATACATGCCTTAGGCCTCCTCCCCTCTCAGAGGTGTGGGACTATAGGTTGTTTCTCCCTACAAGCTCTAGTGGATCAAGCCAATTCTACTTGGAGTACATGGTCCTGCAGGCACTGAGCCAGACAAGGCTTTAACACCAGCACCTTAAATTATCCTTGGAGACCAATTCACAACTAGTGCAGGGCCTGCAGAATCAGTGTAATATGCTTACAGCACTGAGCCAGTGAATAGATGGGCCACTACATTCTGGACCAGTTATAGTCTTTAAGGGCAGCACTATGTAAAATACATTGCAGTAGTCCAACCAGGTGATAATGAGGGTGTGAATTACTATAGCCAGGTTTTCTTGTACCAGGTAAGGCTGCAATTGATGTACTAGGAGAATCTCTGTTCAGGCAGGAGCCGTGAGTCCAGAAAGACTCCCAAATTGTGAATCTGCTCCTATACAAGTAATGCTTCCTCATTAAGAGATAACACTGGTGAAACAGAGAATCCTGATGTGCAAACAGCAGCTCAGCTTACTTGGGTTTAACTTCAGCCTGTCTGTCCCATCCAAACCTTCTTATCCTCCAGGCACTGGGGCACAATATTAATAGCATCTCCCTACAGCCTAAAGTTGATATCATCAAGTATAGATGATACTGCACTCTAAACTGTAGGATGACCTCTTCCAGTAGTCATATAGATATTAAAGAGCATGGGAGTGAGGGTCCCTACAGCACCTTGCATATCAGGGGCCACTAGGTCAACCTCTCACCCCCCCACACAACTGACTGAAACCACCCACTAAAAGGGCAGAACCACTGCAAGAGCACCTCCAATCCCCAGCTCCCTTTGGCAGTCCAATAAGATACCATGGCCGATGGTGCTGAAGGCTGCTGAGACAAAAAAAGGCACCTTTGGCACGTTTACCTAGTCAGGTTTTGTTAATTCATGCTGGATCTGCTGCCTCATCCACCACCAAATCATGGATGAAGGTGATCTTTTTGCAGATTTAAATGAACTGGTCCCTGCCATCAGAATGTGTACTTTTATTAAAATTTACTGGTATGCAAATGACTTTAAAATGAACTCAGAACCCAGTTATTTGATTTTAAGTTTTCAAATTACAACAATCTAAATGGCGAGAATATCCCACTTCTCAGCAGTCACAATACATTTTTTGTGCATATAATTTTGTTTGCAAATTTTAAAAAATGGAAATTATAGGTAGCCCTGAACTCATGACACCTTCCTACCATTGAATAAGTTGCCCAATGACTAATACGTGTACATTATTATTTCTTTAGTACACTACTCTGACTTTGCAAAAAGCCATCCATATGCAAATATTGGACTTATTTTCTATCCATTAAAAGTGGAATAGTTTCATCATTCATGAGAGAGAACCACTGTAGTGCCTCATCACAAAAGATGATGCATACAAAGGGTTTGAGGAAAAGATAAAGGAACTAGATCTCGCCATGTATTTTCTTATTGCCTTGGAGTAGTTAAAAGTGATGGTACTGACTATTTAGGTGCAGAATCAATAACACTACCCATAATTTAATTTCTCTGATTACCCTCAAAGTCTTTTTGTGCCTATTTGTTTTTCACTGTGTAGGCCAGCAACGGTAGGCAGCAGTGTGTCTCATATGACAACAATTAGTGATCGAATGGATTACCTGAAACCACAACTAGATCGAAAATACACCTATGCAGAAATGATCCCTGTAAGTACCTTCTGAGTACCATGAACTGTGGCATTGAATATTGTCTCTGTGGGGAGATGGGGTTTCTTTTTATTTGGGATTCTTCAAAGATGTCTAAATAAGAGCCCCTTTAGGTGGCAGAGAACGATCTTAGTCATGCTTCTGGAATAAGGCTATTCTGTGAACTTCTATAATCTATAGCAGTGTTTCTCAACCTCGGCAACTTTAAGATGTATGGACTTCAACTTCCTGGGACTTCCAGCTCTGGAACTTGGAAGGGGGAAGTTGGAAGCTAGCTGGGGGAATTCTAGGAGTTGAAGTCCTCACATCTTAAAGTTGCTGAGGTTGAGAAACACCGGCCTATAGTTTTAAAAAGACATATGAAAATTGCTATGTTCATATGTTTGGGACAGCAGCAAATGAAAACAAATGCAAAAATGTATAGAAGCTATGACTTCTTTTGTTCCTGTAAGTTCAAATCCTGTTAAAGAGTTAAATATAGAACATCTAGTATGGAGGATACCTACAGCTGAAGAGTCCCAATAAGAATGAAACTGATTATGTAGTGCCTCCTACATAACATCGAAATGCAATATTTCTTGCATTTTTTATAAAAAATTGCCAAACAATGCTGAAATGATCTTGTGATGGAGCATATTCATGGGTATTAATTCATCCTTTCCTAGTGATCTTTCAGTCAGTTTATCCATGTTTGCCCCTAAAGGCCAAAGAATTCCTTCCTTCTTGCCTTCATATAGAATTCTGCTATCTAAAATTTAGTGCCATGACTCTGGATTGAGTCATACTGCATAAGTTACCATTTAGCAGCAATGTTAAAGGTACCTGTGTTCATGCAAAATAAGAGTGATGTTTCAGACTAGAATATCTCTGTCCTACAATTATTATTATTTTTTAACTGTGGATAAATCTGTCACCAGAACTTGATTAAAATTTAGCAGGTCTATTAAAAGTCAGCAGATATCAGAAATCTATCTATCTATCTATCTATCTATCTATCTATCTATCTATCTATCTATCTATCTATCTATGGTTGGTCAGCTGTTACAACTAAAACCTTGATCTCAAGATCTCAAAATATGTCTGCATCTCAAGACATCTTGACAAACGTCAAGATAGGTCAAGGAACAAGGTACACAAAATAAACCCCCACTGGTTTTTTTTATTTTTAAATGAGACTCAGCTGGTACAAGTTCCTTTTAACAAAACAGCAGATCTGATAAATTACAGATTTTTCCAAGGTCTCTTCAGAATTATTACAAAGAAGTGAAAAAGGTCAACTGACTATAACCACAGCATCAATAGAATTTAAAATGTGCCATCATCCACATTGCTCTTTGTAGCCATCAGAAAGGGAAAACTGTCAGCAAGAAGAAAACAGAGGGAAAGGAAGTGTGAGGCAGACAAATTTAACAGCATACTATATAACAAATTGGGAAAAAAGAAACCTAAGAAGCTTGTAGTAAAACAATCAGGCAAAACACATCTGATATCTGATTATTCTTTTTAATCTCAAAGAAAAATAACAACAGTTACAAAACAGTTTCATCCAAGACACAATGAAACTACATGCCTTGACGAATTGTGGTCTCTGTTATTCAGGGTAAAATCTCCCCAGATTTTTTTGAACTAGGAAGTTCTAAAATGGAAAGAATGCTGCAGTCTCTTTACTTGGAGAACAGAGCAGGCTACATCTTCACTGAATTCTGTGAGAAGTCAGGCGATAAGGTAAGAAGAAGTGCTTATTGGTGGATTTCTTGGTTGGATTTTCATTGGCATTTGGAGTCTCCCCATAGCTTTAAGGGAAAAGAAAACATTGCTTGTAAAGTTGGACTTGCCAAAGATCAGCAACTTAGCTTCAAACTGAAGATTGATTTCAACCTACCGTTTTGCATGTTCAAGCCAGTTATGTTTGAACACTGGCACTTTAAATAGCATACTGGCTGGGGCCAATGGAGGTTTTAGTTTAGTACTGTGACTCTCAACCTTGGCCATTTTAAGATGTGTGGACTTCAATTCTCAGAATTCCTCAGCCAGCATATCTATTTAAAGTACCATCCTAAAATGGCCAAGTTTGAGAAATGCTGGTCTAGGAGAGTTCAAGATTGAGGATGGCTGCCTCAAACGTCGTACTTTGCCCACAGTTTCTTAAAAAGTCTACCTCGGAGTATGGAGGATTCCAGCTGAACTGAGTTGTTAAAACCAACCAACCAACCCTGATTGGAAAAGGAAGGTTCTGAAATATTTCCAAGAAGTTTTTGCATGTTAAGTATTTAAACATTTGAATACTATGGAGTCACTTTTCTTCTTGAAACCTGTGTAGTAAATTCTGTCTTTAGGGTGCATATAGTTACTCAATTTTCACCACAAAAGAGAAAAGAAATATGTCACTGAAAAAAACAGGGTACATAAATTGGTATAAATATGTGTTTGTGCCTTCAGATGAAAGGTACTTTAAGAAATAGAACTTCTTGTGCAACTTCAATAGAGAACTGTTCTCTATTTTAAAGTAGGGCCCATATATTTCAGGCCTAAACATAATTACTTGAAAAAGTGCCCCAGTCATTTCACTGGATCTTATTTCCAACAAAGTATTTAGAAAGTGTCAGAAATGTTTATCTGGAAATGACACCTATTGAAAATTATGGGACATTTACAGGTAAAAGTTTTGCGGTGTTTTAATCCTGAGCATGCTTACTTGGAAACTTGTTTCACTACATTTGAATGTATTCCTTGTATATAAACATAATCCATATGTTTGTATACAACACGTCAGCAGGTCCTGAATATTACGTTATATACTTTTAAAGCAATTAAGTACATTGATTATTTTTAGTTTGGGATCAAGCTGTAAGAATTGTTCCAATTTACTGTAGATTTACTAAAATCACATACAGTATAGGTCAATTTTTATGGTCAAAATTTACATTTTATGCCAGCTGGTTGGTTCAACAATTTAAAATAATAGTTTCATCTATCTGTCTGTCTTTTTAAAGAGAGGAGCTTCTGAGGTGACAAGGTTCATAAAGCTTTTTTGTCCCTCTGGAAACACCTAGCTTTGAGCAATAACACCAAATTTCGGTATAAAGTAGTTGAAGAATACCTCATAAAATGTAATGATGGTCAGGATAAAATTTAATAATATCAGCAATTGCTGAAAAATGCTGTCACAACATAAATTTTAGATGCACATTATGAACCCCTGCTTTAATTCCATCCCAATATGTTTAAACTTTGCAATATACACTGACAATTTAATTGCCAATTATATGCAAAGGGTACAATAAAATATATAGAATGTATTTCAGTTACAGTATCTTTATACATGCTGTCATTCTGCCAGTATCAAAAATACTACTCCAACTGATCCCAAGGAGCTAAAGAGTTACTGTGCCTTGGGATTCTTCCAGATGACCCACCCTTTTGCTCCCAGTCTTCTGAATTTACTTTAAAGCCCACCCAAGATTGGCTTGGTTTTTTTTTTTTTTTTTAACTCAATCCAATCTATTTGGAGATCAGGTCACAATGAGCATGGGAATGTTTATATGCTCACTAGACAATAGAGCTCCAGTGAAGTTTGCTTCTAGCTACCCCTTCAAACCCACTTATAAGCACACACCCATATCCCATCTTCACAAAAAGAGAAGAGAATAAATTGTTAGTGTTCCCTCGTGATTCTGCACTGGTCATAGTAGCAAACTTTCAATGCTTTCCCACCTCCTAATGATGCTGTCCTAGGTATTCAGTATTTGGGTTTCTTTTATTTTATCAGGCCAATATGCTACTATGGACTGAGGTGAAACAAACATTCCCTCCAATGTGTCTTCCCTCCTTGCCTTTTCAAGCATAGACGCATTTGTGAAGTGTTTGTGAAGCAGGATTTGCTGTCTTGAAATAGTTCCATCCATGAATACGATATAATTGGCAAGAGTTCTATCCAAATTTGATCAATTGGGAGGAAGAGGGATCATCATCATTGTACCCTTTTGCCTAGAAGAGCCCTTGACATTTATGAGACTAATCCAGTGTTTCTCAACCTTGTCAACTTTAAGACGTGTGGACTCCAACTCCCAGAATTCCCCAGCCAGCACTGGGTGGGGAATTCTGGGAGTTCAAGTCCACATGTCTTAAAGTTGCCAAGGTTGAGAAATACTGCACTAAACAATACAAACTTTGGTAGTAATATCTTTCCTCCCATCTCTTCCATCTGTAGCTATGGAAGAACAGCACATATTTTTGGTTTGACCTACAGGATTATCATCAGCTTTTCTATCAAGAAACCCTCCATCCTTTGAAACTATGCAAGCAAGCACAAGTAAGTCATAAACAAGACATTTTCATAGTCTCTCTCTACCCCCAAGGAAAATAGTTTGGGATCATAATTAACAAAATATGTATAAATGGGAGTAACAGAGTTTATCTAAACATCAGCCAGGCATGGTTTTTGTTCAGAAATATCTCCCAGTTCCATTTCATGGATTTATCATTCCTATGCAATTATTCTGTTTTCTGTGCAGCTAGTGTTTTGGATTTCTTCTTTCTTTCTTTCTTTCTTTCTTTCTTTCTTTCTTTCTTTCTTTCTCTCTCTCTCTCTCTCTTTCTTTCTCTCTCTCTCTCTCTCTCTCTCTCTTTCTTTCTTTCTTTCTTTCTTTCTTGTCTTGATGGGGTGAATGTTAATACATTTGTAGGAGATTTGGAAATACTTGGAAACTTTTGTGAGATGCTAAAATGAAAGAAAGCCATGTATCAATCAGCTGAAAATTCATTTTGGGCATCTTGCTTACATAGGCTTTTAAAAAAACCTTATTTTAGCTCTTTTTTTTTCTTTTTGGATATATAACAGAAAAGAAAATTTAATATATTTCTGTCATAAATACAAACTTTCTGGCAATTAGTTTTGGAGAAGGTTAAGCTGATGATTAGGGTATCATCCAGTTCCTTGGTCGTTATTTTTAATTCATCCCATGTTTGCCTTCCATCTTTCTTCCTGTTTTCCTACTTCTCCTTCCACCTCATAACCCATCTAAATTTAGATAGTACATTCCTTGGGCAGGGACAATATATCTTCCAGTCACAGATTTCAAGACTAACTAGTGAACCAGCATTCATTTTCCATGAATGTAAATGTGCAGTTCAGATTGTGAATCTGGGAGAATCTGGCATCTCTATGCATATGAGGGATCCATTCAGATTTTTGTTTTTCTGTTGTATCCATCTTCTGTGGAGCCATTCTTCTGGTTCATTCAATGTTCTCTTTGTTGAATTTGCTGTAACCATCAAGATTGCTTGCTCATTCATTAATTCGTCTATTTTGCTTCTATGCTCTTCCTAAGTGTTTAATCCATATATTACATAATTTTTTCTCAACTAGAAAACCATTAAGAGATAAATCCTGTTTATTTTTTTGTTTCTTTATTTCAAATAGAGGGTATTTGAGAACTCTTTTGCTTTTCAGAGCAGGAATATTCAACCTTTTTTTTCAGCAAGAGGTCTGTTTTCCCTTTGAATAGTGTGTAAGGGGTCATACTCTAAAATGTTGATGGGGCCTGGGCAAAAACTAAATTTGATTTAACTTATATTTAATTATGGTTAAATGAAATAACTATTATTAATATTATTCCTCATGAATTTAATAGTTTCCTATTCTGTCACTCTTTGAGGGATTGAGAGCTGCATAATTCCTGATCCTACTTATTCCCTTTATATATGTCGAGGAGTGGGAACTATTTTTCTATTCAGAGCTATCTTTTCCCAGAAATAATTTTTCAGGAGCCACATCCTGCTGGTGGAAAAAAACCTGAAGCTATTTTTCTGTCTTCCTATCACAGTGTCTCTCTTTCTCTTCCTCCTTGCCCAGTGAGTTGCTGAGCCGCTGGAAGAAAAACAGGCCATTGTTGTCAAAATTACATATCTTTCCTGAAGAGCTTTGAAATAAGGCTGAGGTCACAAGCATTCCTTGAGTGTGTGTGTGTCTATGTGTGTATATAAATTTTTCATTTTTATAATGTTTTAAAGAGCCAAAAACATTAATAAATTAACAAAGGCCATATGTTTGTTCTTACATCAATCCTGTTTCTGTGGGAATAAATGTAGTTAGCAAGAATTGTTTTACATTGGTAATTACTTCTTGAATTTATACTCCATCGTGCTTCCAAGCTAACTCTGCTCGGAGGACATCTCACATTAAAATGCTAAAATACATCATGCAACTAATTGCTATTCTTAAAAAAAAATCACAGGAATAAGAAATAGATGAGAATAAGTATAACCATAACTGCATAATGTATATGTTTTAAATGCTTGGGAAAATATGTACAGATCATCACTCAACAGACATTGATAAAGGGAGTAACATATGGGGGACAAGACAGATATGTGCCACAGGGCTACCATTACTTCTGGCTTCTTTGCACATACAGTATCAAAAAATATTTGCAAATATATTCTTTCCTTTGTATATGTTGTAAGTTTACCATAGCAGAACTGTAGGTACACAGGGATCTGTCCATGGACAGTATGAACTACATATTTCTGGCCTTATGTGAACGAGGCTTTAAGCAAGTAATGTTAAGAATGATGTTAGTAACTGGATCTCATCAATATTCTGTAAACAATATCAGAACATTCATTATTGTTGTGCTAGGTAAACAAGACTACCAAGATATAGAAGGGATTGGAAACCAAAAGATGGAAAATTTTGTCTACTGAGTTGTAATTTAATCAGAGAGCGGACAGCATTCTTTCAAAAATACTATAGCTGCATCATCCATGGTAGATTCTGCATCCTAACCCTAATTTGATAATGATATTATTGTATCATGAATCTATTTCATAGGACTCATTTTTTCTCCTTTAAAAATTATATTATTTTTTGATATTTCACATCAAGCTCTCTCTATCTACTATCTATATATTTGTCTGTCTATCTATGAATAAATGGGGAATATCAGACCAGAGATATTTAAAGCAAACAACTATTATATTCTATCAATTTTTGAATCCCATTATACAGAAAGAAATCTTCTAAAGTATGGGATGGAGAAATTACTGGGCAATTTCTGGTTGATGATTAGCTTTCCATTAATTTTTGCAAAGAAAGCTAGAATATGCATTTGCCTATGCGTATTTAAGAGAGAACAAGGTTCACACTTTACTTATTAAGATGCAATGAAAATCAAACTGAATATGATGTTAAATAATTTTTATGCATATTGATTATTTAAGCAGCAGTCACTGGGGAACGGTGTAGATAATTATTATGATTTCAACAGGGAAGAAACAGGATATGCAATGCTTCTTAAAGGGAAAGAATTCTTCCAGTTACACTGGGAAGAACTCTTACACACAAATGCATGCACATATATTCCTCAAATGTTCAGTTTTCCAACTTTTTAGTTAAAGCTTTGCCTTTATTTGTAGTTTTAATGAAATGAATGTTGCCATAAAACCTGTAGGAAGTGGACAGATTTCTGCCAGGACTACCAAAATGTTAGACTCCTTTTTGGCTGATGAAAGAGACATGAACATTAAATAAACTTGACTATTTTTATTGTCATGACAGCATCATTTCAAATGTATAGTTCATTTCATGTTCTCTTAGTTTCTGTTCCTCCTGCCAATTGTTGCAGAACTTCATTAAGACCCTTGTAGGCACTTGTAGTAATCAGATAATTAGAGTTTTAAAGGAATTCCCTGGACCTTCAATATACATACTTCAATAAATCACACAGAATAAGTTGCAATAAATACACACAGAATAAAGTAGTAATACCTTAGTTATATTTAAGTTTAGCGTATACAAATTTGGACTTTACTCTTCAGATTTTCAGATTTTTTGGCGTTTTATATTTGTGAAGGCCCCAAAAGTTTTATAGACCCTGGGTAACTTTGGGTCTTTTTTCCCTCTCTCTCAGCTCCCTTCCTCCTAAGATGTATCACCATCAGTAGCTCTTCTAGTCTAAAACTCCCTCTCTGCTTCAGGTGGAAGGATTTGAGGGAGAAGAGTATCTATCTACTCATGAGAACAAACAGCAGGCAGGGGAGGACATCCCATCCCTATTAATTATTCTCCTCTATCTGGAAGTTTCAATTCTGGCTTCACTTGGGGAGCCTCTGTCCCCAGTCAGTACTAGTCCAACAATCCTCTTCTGATACCAGCTCCTTCCTCTCAGAATCTGAAGAATCAATAGGTGCTAAAGCTACAATGCAAGACCAGTAAGGAGGCTTGGGTTTGGTTGGATACTGAGTATAGAACTGTTGTAGGAGTGTGTGGACATCAACTCCTATTTTCCACGATCTGGCTGTGTCTGCTTAGCTCTTCCAATGAAATTTGTATTCCAGTTTGCCTCTCCTGTGCCAAGAATCCAAATATGTTCCACCTCACATTATTCCTCCACCCTTTATGCTGGTCTTTGACTGTATTAAAGATTTGATTTGATATTCCTTCCCCCACATCAGCATGGATGGTGGTGGTGGTGGTGTGGTAGGGTTGTGTAAGAAATAAAGGGGCATCTTAGGACAGGAGGAAATGGAAGAAAATCAGATTTATCTTTATTATAATTGGAAGCTGCAACAGAAAAGTGACTGGAATGACCAGTTCAAGTACTGGGAGCGGTCTAAGAAGCTTGGCATCCAGCTTTTTAGACAGTCATGTACCAGGAAGAATTCTGGTAGGAAGCTAGATGAAGTCTCCTGCAGCAATGGTGAGGTCACCAGTTTCCTGGCAATGTTGATCAGCAGTTTGTTTGTAGGAAACCTTGGCAAGTTTCAGGAGTCACTATGCTGCCTGGAGTTCCTGGAGAAAGTGATGTGAATGGTAGCAATATAAGGCTTGAAATGATGATATATGAGTAATAGAATGATCTGAGTTATTATAGTTATTCAGGCCAATTTTCTTCCTGGCAGTTTAGTACATAAAGCCATCCCATTCCCAATTCTATAGGAAAATACAAAGGAGACGCCAAATAAACTTGGTCACAGATGGTGAGCAGAAGAGTATCTGTGCATTCAGAAATTGGCCTTGATTATGCCATCTATGGTTGCACCCTCAAAGATACAGGGCATATTTGCCTGTAATAGAAGAGTCTATGGTATTGCCTGTGATGTCAGAATCTATTAGGACCTGAAGATGTATTGCACAGCGAGACTGAATTTGAACAATAACAGGAAGGACCAAAGGTTGGTGCTCATCTTCAAAGATCCAGACCCTGTTTAATGTTCTGATTTTGCCACCTGAGACCCTGACCCTGGAGGAGGGCATTGAATCATATCCTGACAAGTCAGCTCTGGAATGCTTAGGGCATCTATTACAAAAGG